GTCCTTGAAAACTTCTATGCATCTCTCCCATGAGCTTATTCAATGTCAGTTAGGGTTGAGCAATTGGAAAATGTTCCAAGTTTCGAAACGAATGGGAGAGTTGTAGAGAAAAAATAGCTTCTTGCTGACCTATATGCTTGTCCTCTGTATGGACAATCCATGGTTGCTATAAAAGAGTTGGAACACGACATTGAAGTTTTGTTTGAGCGAAAAGAAATGCATTAGACACAACGTTCACGAGCTGAATGCCTCAAACCGTGGGACCATAACACTATATTCATTCATGCGAAGGAATATACGAGGATTATGAAGAATGATTTATCTAGAATCCAGAATGAGACTGGTGTGAGGGTCGGGAAAATATATTCCCATTGCTTGAAAACTTCTGTACATCTCCCATGAGCTTGTTTAGTGTCAATCAAAGTTAGGCAGTTGGAGAAGGTTCAAGTTTGGTAAATACATGGGATAGCTGCGAGAGAAAGAGCAACATCTGGCCAACCTATATGCTCTTCTATGTGTGGGCAAGCCATGGCTGCTATAAAAGATTGGAACGATACGTGCTGAAGACATTATAAAAGGCATTCATGTGCAAAATTATTTTATTAAGAAAACATGTGGTTGAAAATGAGTTTGAAGAAAATAAATATTAAACAGTGACTCTGAGTGGACAGATTTCCAATCAAAAAGATCGTTTATAGGTCCGATTACTTTTTATTGTTGTTGATTTGTGACTATTCATCTTGAACTCCAAATGGGCGTAACTAATTAGAGAGCAAGTTTAGGAATTCGTATTCAAGAAAAAAATTTGTTCTTCATTTTAAGACCACGTACGTAGATGGGTGTCTGCTATATACTGTATTTTCTCTAATCAAGTTCGTTAATGTGAATCGGGTAGATTTTCTAATTTGGTTTTGAATTTTGAATAAAACTATTGTATAATTATTGTTTACAATTGTGGTTGACAAAGTCGTCAAAATTTTGACCGTTGATTTAAAAAATAATTTTTAAAATAGATGAATATGATGTTACCAAGTGTGTATTGTCAATCAAAATTGTATATATATATTGTACAAATAGCATGATTTTTGAATTTTTCACTTTCATTTTAAACTCGTCTTAGATAGAAGACGATACTCCAATAATGAGAAGTAGGGCCGACCCAAATTAAGCATATAACTATTTTTTGGAACTTGGAAATTGGAAGTTACTTAAAACAAAATAAAAATGGAAACCTCATATTTTTTTCTTTTTAGCACAATCGATGTCTTACCTAAGCGGGACGATATGTACTGAAGACAGCAGTCACGAGCTGAATGGCTCCAAATGTAGGATCCTAACACTAAATTTTTACATGCCTGCACAAGAAGGATATGATTTCATTCTTTAAGATTACAAGTAAAAATTGTCAACCTTGACCGCATCACAATTAGTTAAATAATCAGATTGTAACTTTAATTAGTGTAATAATATACGATAAAGAACGATTTATCTAGAATCAAGAATGAGGCTGGGGTTTGGTTTGAGGGTGATAAACATGTAGTTCCATTTCTTGAAAACTGTTAAACATATCTACTCTCCATTATGGGGCTTAATGAGAAAGAATTGGAGGCTGGAGAGTGTGGGATTTCTGCTATGTTGTATCCATAGCACAAGGCTTGGATTGATGTCCCTTTCTTTTTCGGCAAAATTGAAGCAAATGGGACCAAATTAAAGCATCAAGTATGGACGGGTTTCATGTTTTATTTTTCCCAAAATATTGGTCTGTTGTACGTATGATGGTTTGTTCAGCTTGTGTTAAAGTTCTCATAATGGCAAATCAGCCAGACATACAAATGATATTACTCTTTTCTCTTAATTTCAAAATAAAGCTTCCTGTACTTATCTGCGACTACAGGCTCATCAGTTTGTGCAATGTGGTGTACAAATTATCGCAAAAATAATTAAACACAGGCTCAAGAAACTTCTACCCAATTTTATATCTGGAAAACAATGAACATTTGTCCCTGGCCGACGTATTACAGACGACGTCATTGTTGCTTATGATTTCGTACATTCATTGAGCAAGAAGAATAATGGAAGTAAAGCCTTCATGCTGCTTAAACTTGACAGGAGTAAAATCAACTCCCACGGAAAAGATGAAGATCACGACATAATGAATATTTTAAAAGAAAAAATATTCAGTTGATTTGCATTTGTTTTGTTGTCAAATGACTTTTAATGTTCAATGATGAGATTTATTTATTCGGTTATTTTGTGTTTGGTTAGTTGTCAAAAGACTTTAATAAGAAATAACGTGAACTTCAAATACTTTGGTGAGTAATTGGAGAGATGCCCAAGTGATTCCACACTATATTGGTTCATTGACCCGGCAAAAAGTGGAGAGATGCTATTTTAGAGGTGTAAACAAATTTAGTGTGAGTTGCTCAAATAACTAGACAGATGAATCTTGACCCTTAGATCATCTTTTGATCAATGGTTTGGGTTCGTCGTATAAATAAGTGGAAACCCTAGCATTTCATTCACTCTCATTTCTCTTGTACAGTTATGTTCTCTTTCAGTCTTTCTCAACGACTACTTTTGAGTTTTCTTTGTGAAATATCTAATGTTCTTCACTTTATTCTTTGTGGTTTCAAGGGTCATGGTTCTGCTTATTGCCAAACAATATTCGCACTAAATTAAACAGAAAATCATTCGAATTTGCATGTATTATCCAAGTTTATAGGAACAAATAAGTATGAAAAACACACTTATTACTTCCTTTGATATCAAAGGAAGGAAGTAAGGCTGCTAGAAGAAGATTTTGAAGCAAGGATGATGACGAACTTACAAAGGGGCTGCCAGTTTCAAATCTTGTAACCCTAACTATCAAAAGTAAAACGTGATGGCTCAATTCCATAATTTCTGTAAGTTAGAGATCTCGGTAACAATACCCCCCCCCCCCCCCCCCCAACAAAAATAAATTTGTGTGGGGTTCAATTTATAACAAAAATTTCTTGTGAATCGAGATTGATTGATAACCCAACGGAAAAAAAACTAAAAAAGAGATTGATTGATTATTCTCTTTTCTTGTTAATCGCACAATGACCCAACGAAAAAAATGGTTTTAAAGTTATAGGAAAATTAGTGTTATGTGATTATGGCTTCCTCGCCTACTTAAACATGAGATTTTGGATTCTGCATGATCAAAATTGTAAATATGAATGTCAAAATTGCATGCAAATTTTGATTGAATTGGAGATGAGGGATTTTGATACGTTTGCTTTCTTACTTTAAATTATGTTAAAGTTGTGTTCGATTTTATGATAGACATTAACATTTTTAATAATGTAAGGAACATATTCATAAATTTAAAAGGGTCAGAGACCCATAACCAAATCATCGAGAATAATTTATACTTTATTTTTCTCTTAAACTTTAATCAATTAAAATATGTGTTTACTTAAAACTTTTACTTATTTATTTACAAATAAAATTAATTAAAATAGCATTTTTTCTAGACTTTTAGAGGCCACCTTCTATTTTAGATTTTTACAAGAGTTTGTTTGTGAATGATTTTTTGAAAATCATATTTATCCAAAATTAATTTTAATTACTCATTATATGAGATTTATAATTTTTTTTAACCGCACATTTAAAAATGAATAAGAATGATGGACAAATTATAATGATCCATTTAATTGGATCTATCAAGTGTAGCAATTTAAACTAGCGTTAAATAACATTATTCTTTATTTTAAAGGGAGACAAACAGGTACTAATTGTCCAGATTTTCACCCAAAAAAATAATAATAAAAGGAATGGAGGAAATTTATAGTGTGGCTAATTGAATCGAACCCATTTAACTCTAGAATATCTTGAATAATTCAAGAAAAAAATTTAGAAAATACTTCCTTAACATGCTACTTTCATTTAATTAATTTGCTTATCATATTATTATAATTTCAAGTTATCTGAGCCTTGATTGAATTATTTCGTCCCTCTCGTCATAACAGGATAAGGATTACTTTGATCCAGAGATATACTAAAAATTTAAGTCTTAACTTGAAGGAAATTAAAATCTTGATGCCATTTAGGCTCCCAAATTGAGTTGGTTGTTTCTCACCTTGCTTTTCCAATGTTGGAGATGGGATGGCCTTACGATGGGTACCAACCTCCAACAGAGATGGTTTTATGATCTCGTTGGAAGTTCTATCCGGACAAAGTAGTACAATTGGTTAAGAATACTATATTTTAGAAGAACAAACCAGCAATAAGATTGTATACTCCAGCAATTTCGGAATGCAATGGGAAACGACTTTCTTTATGATAGTTTCTTACAAGAATCAGAAATTCCGCTATCACTTCCCACCATAAAAGTTAAGACTAAAGAATCACCCGATTGACGATGACATGTTTGAAGAAGAGGCGGTGCCCTCTAATCTAAGTGTAGCACTCTACCTACTAATTGACTTTGAGAGGCTCAATCGTAAAAGTCCTAATTGAGAAATTGAACTCGTGGTATAGTGATGGTGTCAAATCCTGACAGTTCCATTTATTAAATACCCAAAATTTCAGGTCCGATTCAATTCCCCTTAGAATCGAACCAAACCAAATTGAATCATACCCACCCCTAGTATTACGTTTTTTCATTAAAAAAAGTCTAAAAAAATTGTGGGGCTCGTGACCTGTATGCCTCACCCTAATTCCGCCTACGGATGTGTCAGCTTCGATGATGTTAGGTGAGATTTTGACGAAGAATGAATAAGAAGAACAACATTTTCCCTAAACGAATAAGTCAATGAAAGCATAAAAAAACAAGCAAAACACTTTAAATCTGATAGCCCCTTGGCATTAGCAGGAAAACCCTACATAAACAAAAATGTAAAACCTTTTCTAGTCTCTCAAGGATGACTTATACTTATCATTAATCCGTGAAAGAATTATTTAGACTTCTAAAAGTTGGTATAAATAGCTCGTAAATAGGATCTAAATCGACACTTCAAAATTATCAAACAACTTATTCAAATTGCAAGAGATTTCACTTCATCTAATTTCCAGAAATCTGCTTCATACTTGTACCACCTCATCAGCCCTCCGTCATTCCTCGTGCGCTGGCACGTCAGGCACGAGTCACTCATGCATGTTAAAAATTTGTGCAGCTTCCTAGTTTTATGAAGAATTGATTTGTCAATCTCCTTAAGAACTCTTCGAGGTAAAGGTGGAGGGCGTTCGATAAGTATGCAGTGAGATATGTTTAGTACTTCCAACTCTTTCAACTCATCCAAGATAATGTTAAGGGTCTCCTTATATATCATAAAGCACCGAATGCTTAAGACTTTTAAGTTCGGGAGGAATGCAGCGAGTATCGATGCAAAGTAAATGTCACACGGTCCCATGATCTTCAGTTCGGCAAATTTCTTGCAATTTTTGGCAATTTCCTCGATTAGATATGAAGTGTTTCATATGCTAGGCATCGTCAATCACTTGAGGTCTTCCCACATGCGAATAGCTTTACTGTTGATTGGGCTACCTCCCTATTCTTGGTTGGCCCAACTTGAGAAATATTGGGCCTGGCCCGGTTGAATCCTTTTATGGGAAATGAAAGGCGTTGTTTTGTAAACGCATTTTTCCTTTTACAATCGCAAGATCTGTGGACCATACACCTGGCATCTTTGTGACCGTTGGATTGTTGATTTTTGGTGGATTGTTAAAAGGCATCGTGCCTCTTCATTTTCACTCTAATCTCTGAGTGAATGGTTCTAGGGTTTTCTTCGTCTTCTCTCTGAGGTTTTTCTGAACTTGTCATGTTCTTATAATTTCTGAAAGCAATCTCTAATCTGAGTGATGTTAGGGTTATATATGATATATGATCTGTGAGATTGTAGAAACTGAGTGGTATGTTAAGAGAGGCGATAGAAATCTGATATTGAAGAAACGACAGTTTCTTCATATATTCTTGTATCGATTCTTTGTGATTCTTAGTGGATTTGAGCCTAATCTACTTTTGTAGATGCTCAATGGGTGAGTAGGCCTTCGGCTGAACATCCAGGCCCTTAAGGGCAAAAAATACTTGTGTTCTTTACGATTCTGTAAATTTTTATGATTTTGCTGTAATCGTTTTTTAGAAAAGATTAATCCTGAGACCAACAAGTGGTATCAGAGCAGTTTACGAAGGGTTAGGTTTTTCTTTTAAATTTTTTAAAAACCCTAGATCTTAGTTTTTTGGTTAAATCTTAAATCGAGTACATTTTGTGAAAATCTTTTACAAGATCTGCCTTCGGTTTAATTTTCTAATGGATATTTTCAACTGCGAACTTTTTGATATTTTTCTGATGATTACTTTGTTTTCTTGTTGTTTCTGAGGCTTTTGAATTTTTTGAGTAATGTTCCAATAAAGATTCGTACTGAGTAACAGTGAGTCAACTCAACTCATTCCGATTCCTGTTGATATCCTGTGACTCACTACTGAGTCACACTAAGTTGCTGTAACTCGTTGGCTTTTTGTGTGATAACTTGGTTTATTCAACCGGTTCTGGTATTCTCTTAATTACCCCCTTCATTCTGTAATATTTTTTAATCTTTTTGATCCTTTTTTTTAGTTACTCAGTTAACTGTTTTTAGATAATATACTATAAAAGGTTGGTCATTAAGGTAATTGATCTTCTGCTACCTTCCTTTGTCCAAGGTCTCCTGCGAGGACCTGGGAATCTGAGGGGGTAGTGGGTTGAATAGGTCATCACTCCTTAGACCCCTTTCGAGTATCTTTACATACTATTGTTGAATAACTGCATATTCCTAATATAAGATTCCCATATTGAAATCTTTAGTGCTTATTTTCACTGTCTATACACATAATATCCTGTGTGGTATATATAAATATATGTAAACTTGAATCCGTGGATTTTCTGTGATTATCACTACTGTACAAAAATTTGAAGTAGAAATTTGGAGAGGGATTGGAGATTTTAGTTTATGGCGCCAGAAAATAAGGGCTCTGTTATTACAACAGAGGTGTGCTGGGGCTATTAATGGGGTATGGCCTGCTGAGATGAGTGCCTATAGGAGACAGGAGTTAGATGAGATTGCCTGGAGTTCAATTTTCTTATATCTGTCTGATGGGGTAATAAGAAAAGTTGGGGAAACAAATAGTACTAAAGCCTTATGGACCAAACTTGAATCTCTGTACTTGACTAAATCTATGCCCAACAAATGTTATCTCCTTAGGCAATTCTATAACTTTAGGTTTGATCCCTCCTTAAGCCTAGAAGATAATTTTGATAAATTCACTAGATTGATTCAAGAACTGACTGACTGTGAAGAGGAATTGTCTGAAGATCAACAAGTTGTTGCTCTATTAAATGCATTAGGTGATAAATACAGAGACCTGAGAAATGCTTTAGAGTATGGGAGAATTGATCTTACTGTTGATATTGTGATATCAGCTCTAAGAAATAAAGAACTTGAACTTAAAACAGAATCTAAAGATTTTAAGTTTGGGGAAGGCTTGAATATAAGAGAGAAAGTAAATCAGAACAAAAAGAATAATCAATGTAACTTTAATTCACACAAGAAGGGAAAGCCTCAATTTCCTAAATTCAGAAATCAAAACAGAAATCAATCAAAACCTAAGTTCCCAGCCAGAAAATGTTATTACTGTGGTAAGATAGGACATTTCATAAAGGACTATTTTAAGAAAATATCAGACATGAAAGGTAAGCCAAATTTAGATGGGTCTGCAGCTGTTGTCTGCAATAATGAACCTGATATACATGGAGCTGTATTTGTTACAACAACCAAAAGAAACCAAAATGAATGGGTTCTTGACTCTGGGTGTTCTTTCCACATGTCCCATTAAAGAATGGTTCACTGATTATACTGACCTGAATAGTGGGGGTCAAGTTCAGATGGGAAATGATATGACCTGTCAAATAAGGGGTATTGGAAACCTTAAGTTGTTACTGGAGAACAACTATATTCTTGAATTGTATCAGATCAGATATGTACCTGATCTTCAAAGAAACTTAATTTCTTTGGGGCAATTGGATGATGAATATGAAATTAGGACTCATAAAAGACAAACTGTAATTAGCCTTAACTGCATAGAAATAATCTCTACTCTTAAATCAAATGGAATCTTTACATTGCAAGCTAAACCATTAGTTGGAAATAGCTCTGCAATTGTAAAATCACATGACAATAAGACCCTGATTTGGCACAAGAGACTAGGCCATATAAGTGAAAAGGGATTAACAATTTTAAACAAATTAAAATGTTTTGGAAAGGATAGTATTGAAAAACTAGAATTTTGTGAAGACTGTGTTATTGGAAAACAAAATAAACTGCCTTTTAAAATCGGAATTCACAAATCAAATTCTATACTAGAGTATTTACATGCTAACCTATGGGGTCTAGCATCTGTAAACACTTTAAGTGGATTTAGATTTTATTTACTAATTGTAGATGATTTTTCAAGAAAAATTTGGACTTTTTTTTAAAACATAAATTAGATACTTTCCAAAATTTTAAATAGTGGAAGCTGATGATTGAAAATCAAACAAACAAAAGGGTAAAAGCACTTAGAACAGATAATGGTCTTGAATTTTGTAATTTTGAATTTGATCTTCTTTGTAAAGAATCTGGAATCTCGAGGCACAGAACAGTAACACACACTCCTCAGCAAAATGGTATTGCTAAAAGGATGAATAGAACCTTATTGGAAAAGGTTAGGTGTATGTTGCTTAGTTCTGATCTTCCAAAGATCTTTTGGGGAGAGGCCTTAAAAACTGCCACTTATCTGATAAATAGAATACCTTCAAGTGCTATTAATTTTCAAATCCCTAAACACTTATGGTCTGGAAATTCTCCTGATTACCTGAAATTAAGGGTCTTTGGCTGTGCTGCTTACTCTCATCAAAATGTAGGCAAACTAGAACCTAGATCTCAAAAATGTATTTTTCTAGGTTATGGGGAAGAAACAAAGGGTTATAGATTATGGGAGAGAGAAAAAGGTGGATTCAGGGTCATCATCAGTAGAAATGTGATTTTTGATGAAAGCAAGTTCCCTTGTAAGATTCTCCCAACACGAAATATAGATATGACCCTTCCTGTTAAAGAAACTGTCCTGAATGGTCCAAAAGGTAACTCTAATGAACCTGATAATTCGATTGAGGTGGAGCCTATTCAATCTGAAATAGATCAACCTCAAGATGAGTCTGATGCTGAAAATCAATCTCAGAATACTGCCCTTGAAAATTATCAGTTGACTAGAGACAGAACTAGAAGAAATAGGTTCCCTTCTACAAGAATTAATACAGATGAATTTGTAACATTCTACACTGAACTTGATTATGTTAATTCTAAACCAACAACCTTTGAAGAAGCTAAAAATTGTAAGGAATCCAAACTCTGGCTGAAGGCCATGCAAGAGGAAATGGACTCTTTAACTAAAAATAATACATGGATTCTTGTCAATAGACCCAAAAATCAGAAGGTTGTTGATTGCAAAGGAGTTTATAAAATTAAAGAAGGTGAACCTAATCCTGGGGGCATTAGATATAAAGCCAGACTTGTGGCAAAAGGCTTTACACAAAGAGAGGGTATTGACTATAATGAAATTTTTGCACCTGCTGCTAAATACACCTCTATCAGAATCTTACTTGCCTTAAGAGCCCAATTCAACTGGGAGTTAGACCAGCTTGATGTTAAGACAGCTTTCCTAAGTGGTGACCTTGAAGAAACAATTTATATGAACCAACCAAAAGGTTTTGAACTGAAGACAAAATTTGAACAGGTTTGTTTATTAAAGAAATCTCTATATGGTTTGAAACAGACACCAAGACAATGGTATAAGAAATTTTACTCTTATGTTCAAAATTTGGGATTTCTTAAGAGTAATTTTGACTCCTGTTTCTTCTTCAAAGGTTCAGGTGGACCTGATTCTCTCTATCTATTATTATATGTTGATGATATGCTTATTGCCTGCCATGATAAATCTGAAATTATTTCTGTTAAAGAAAAACTTAAATCTGAATTTGAAATGAAAGATTTAGGACAAGCAAAGAGAATTTTAGGCATGGAAATAAATAGGGATAGAAAGAATTGTGTTCTGTATGTAAATCAAAATACTTATGTGAATAAGATACTTGAGAAGTTTGCTATGACTGAGTGTAAGCCTGTATCTTTACCCATTGCAAATCACTTCAAACTTTCTAGTGAACAGTCACCTAAAACTGAAGAAGAATATGACAGAATGAGTAAGATACCCTATGCAAATGTTGTTGGCTCTATTATGTACCTTATGATATGTACAAGACCTGACCTAGCCCATGGTATAAGCATACTAAGTAGATTTATGGCAAATCCAGGTGAAACACATTGGTTAGCAATCAAATGGATGTTAAGATATCTAAAGGGCTCAATTGAACTATGATTAAAATTCCAAAGATGTAATGAAGGCATTATCCTAAAAGGATATACAGATTCTGATTTTGCAGGAGATTTAGATAAAAGAAGATCAACCTCCTCCTATGTGTTTACTCTTTGTGATGGTTGTGTTAGTTGGAAGTCCCAACTACAAAAACTTGTAGCTTTATCTTCCACTGAAGCTAAATATATTGCAGCATGTGATGCCGTTAAAGAAGGTCTGTGGTTAAGGGGGTTATTAAATGAAATTGGTTTCATGAATGAAACAGTTAGAATCTGTACTGATAACTAGAGTGCAATTCATTTGAGTAAAAATCCTGTATATCATGATAGGACTAAGCATGTTGATATTAAATTTCATTTTGTTAGAAATATGGTCGAAAAGGGATTAATTAACTTGGTTAAAATCCCAACTGAATTTAATCCTTCTGATATTGGTACTAAGGTTTTACCTCTAAACAAGTTCAAAAATTGTCTGAAAATTCTGAACATACTTTGAAGGTAATGAATTCAATTTGATATTTGAATTTTATTGGTTAGTTTTGGAAAAATCAACTGACTATTTTCGTTTTCTTTTTACAGGTTTTATAGAGCAAATGAAACAAAATTAGTCTAAGTTTGAATCCACAAAGGAATACAAAGAATAGATCAGCAAGGTGGAGATTATTGATTGGGCTGCCTCCCTATTCTTAGTTGGCCCAACTTGAGAAATATTGGGCCTGGCCGGGTTGAATCCTTTTATGGGAAATGAAAGGCGTTGTTTTGTAAACGCATTTTTTCCTTTTACAATCGCAAGATCTGTGGACCATACACCTGGCATCTTTGTGATCGTTGGATTGTTGATTTTTGGTGGATTGTTAAAAGGCATCGTGCCTCTTCATTTTCACTCTGATCTCTGAGTGAATGGTTCTAGGGTTTTCTTCGTATTCTCTCTGAGGGTTTTCTGAACTTGTCATGTTCTTATAATTTCTGAAAGCAATCTCTAATCTGAGTGATGTTAGGGTTATATATGATATATGATCTGTGAGATTGTAGAAATTGAGTGGTATGTTAAGAGAGGCGATAGAAATCTGATATTGAAGAAACGACAGTTTCTTCATACATTCTTATATCGATTCTTTGTGATTCTTAGTGGATTCGAGCCTAATCTACTTTTATAGATGCTCAACGGGTGAGTAGGCCTTTGGCTGAACATCCGGGCCCTTAGGGGCGAAAAATACTTGTGTTCTTTACGATTCTGTAAATTTTTATGATTTTGCTGTAATCGTTTTTTAGAAAAGATTAATCCTGAGACCAACATTTACATATTCCAATATTCGTTATTCTGTTCCATGCAGGCATGACTAGATGCTTCAGACGTGGGCACCTGCAAATCGAGGTATTATATCATCTTCCATTGAAACTATTGAATTAGAATCCCTATCACCTTGCATCAATGCCCATGTGCAAATGTGAACCCATTAACAATAACACATTCTCTACCATAAGAACTAATGAAATATTGCATCTTTCAGTAGAAACAATGATGTAAACCAAACAAAATAAACAAAAATAAATAAATTTTACCGTCAAACCCAGATTATATGACAATAAAGATTATTTTTTTGGGTTATTGAAATTTATTTTTGTCGGAAGTATATTATTATATAGAAAAAGAGACTTATCACGAGTAGTTGGAGACTTGCAATTGTTCCAAGACTTCCTCAGTACATAAAATATATAGGGTGATGCTACGTTTTTACACTCCCTCATATAGAGGGGAGCCTACACAAAATAAATTATGCATGGGCCCCCTCCCTGTTAGAGGGTGTAAACCCGTGTGTACACCTTGAGGTGTACACGGAGCATTATTCAAATATAAAAGCCCAACTGTAACAATTGCAGATAGGGGAAAAAAAAAGGAACTCCAATTGAGTTCACGTTTTACTTTGCTAAAGCAACTTTTTTTTTAATCCCTTTCTCTTTCTCAAAGCACTAATGAATAAATGCAAAGTTACATGCACATCATGTGATGATCGCCCAGGACAGGCACTCCAGAACGAGTCACACTCGAAAGAACCAGGGCCAGTCGACTCTCCAATCATCAGACCGAATCGGTCACCATCATTCTTATTCATTTTTGTCCAATTTCTCAATAAAAAAGTATGAAATTAGAAATATACCATCATATTTAAATAAAATATAAAAGAAAAATAAAGAATTAATTGTAACCTATTCCAATTCTTTACAAAAATTGCAAACAAGTCCCCAAATAAATTATTAAAGGATAATTAGCACATAATATTCCTACCTTTCACTATTATTGTGAAAAACGTCCCCAACTTATATTTTTTTGGATTTTTATAATAATATTGAAAAAATTTGGGACTATAGTTGCAATTAGTTCTTTCTTTTTCTATTTTTAATAGAAGTGTTTACTCGTCATTTTACAGCTTTTAATTCAGAAAATTTGAATGGACTAAAAAGTGCGAGCATAGTTTTGAAAAGTTGAATCGGAGATTGATGAAAGCGCCGATGCTAACTATACTAGAAGAGATAAAAGGTTTTGTAATCTATAGTGATAATTCTAAGTATGGCCTGGAATGTATCTTGATGTAGTAAGGCAAAGTGATCGCCTATGCGTCTAGGTAATTAAAACCGTATGAGCAGAATCACCCTACTCACAACTTAGAGCTTGTTGCAATAGTTCATGCTCTAAAAATTTGGAGACATATCTTCTTCACAAGGGGAAGTGTGGCATTTACATAGACGATACACTCAGAAAGAATTGAACATGAGACAAATGAGATGGCTTGAATTAGTGAAGGACTATGACTGCGAAATCCATTATCGCCCAGACAAGGCATAGGCAGTAGCAAATGCCTTAAGCAAGAAGACGACAGGTCAAATGGCAATGTTGACAACACAAAAGCCTTTATGGAAGGAGTTCGAGAGATTAAGTCTTGAGATTTTCACAGCTCTGCTTAATGCTATGGCTCGAATGGCAGCACTATTGGTCCGACCAACACTTCGTTGCAGAATTAAGAGTCGACTAGTCCTTAGAGTTTATTGAGTTTGAGATAAAGGCAAGAAAATGGAAGGGATTCACATAGTTGACGATAAGGCATTGTAACATCAAGGACGGTTATGTGTACCAGACTTCGAGTCTTGAAAAAGAAAATATTGGAGGAGGCTCACTTTGCTCCATATTCAATGCATCCAAAAAGTACCAAAATGTACCGAGATCTAAAAGTAGTGTTTTAGTAAAGAAAAATGAAGAAGAACATAGCCATGTACGTTGGACATTGTTGTAGGTTTATCAAAATTAGTAAAAGGTCAGCAGGCCATTTAGGTTATTGTTGTCTGAATAACCAAGTCTACTCATTTTTTACTAGTCTGCATGACATTTTCTATAGACTAATTTACACAGTTGTATGTCAAAGAAGTGGTGAAGTTGCACAGTGTACCAATTTCAATTGTATCTAACAGAGAACTAAGGTTTACATCGAACTTTTAGAAGAGTTTATTTGGCTATGGGAATGACATTGAACTTTAGTATAGCTTTCCACTCTCAAATAGATGGTCAATTTGAGCGGACAATTCAAACATTAGAGGATATGCTTAATTCGATCGTATGTTTTAGAGTTTAGTGGACATTGGGAAAAGCATCTACCTTTAATTGAGTTTACTTATAATAACAATTATCACACCTCTATCAACATGGCACCCTATGAAGCATTGTATGAGAGAAAATACAGATCACTCATTGGGACGAGGTTGGAGAACGTAAGATTTTGGGTCCAGATATTATTAAACAGACCATATAGCTATTGAGAAGATTCATACAGTATTAAAATGGCTCAAGACAGATAGAAAATCTATGTAAGTAAGAGGACAAAAGGCTTGAAATTTCTCGAAGGTGACAAGGTATTCCCCAAAGTGACGTCTATGAAGGGATTATTATGTTTCGGTAAGAAGAAAAAGTTGCAACCAAGATTCATTGGCCCGTTGGAAGTGTAGCATATCTTGGCTTTACCCTTCTCAACTCCCAGCAGTACATAGTGTATTTCACATATCAATGGTCAGGAAGTATGTCCTTGATTCGAACCATGTACTGAATCATCAGTCAATTGAGTTACAATGCGACTTGAGTTATGAAGAAGTACCGGTTGAAATTATCAAATCAAAAATTTCAAGAACTTAGAAACAAGGAAATTCCTTTAGTAAAAGTGTGATGACATAATCACTTAGTTGAAGACGCTACTTGGGAGCGAGAAGTGGAAATGCGAGACAAATACTCACAAACTCTTCGAGAAATTTCAAGTTAAATTTCGAAGATGAAATTTATTTTAAGGGCATAGATTGTAACGTCCCAAATTTTTACTATTAGTTTTTAGATTTAATTTTAGGACTTAAAAGCGCTATTATTAAAATTTGATGACCTTATCAGTTATTAAGTAATAATTTGAAGACCAAGTAGAATGTTATTTTGGAAGTTAGATGGAATCATGCATAAAACATATGTAAATATGCCAATTGATCTTTGATTAAATATGATTTATTGACCACATGCATTCATTTCAAGTCAATATAATTAATTAGACCACGTAAATAAAGAAAATCGATTTGACAACATGCATTATTTACGTCAAGTTATAAGCTAAATGAATTGATTTGACCACATGATTAAAGGTATTGATATGACCATTTTCATGGCAATACACCATTTATATATTGGCCATGTCTAACATCTAGGTATTTCATTTCACTTTTCTACACATGGTGTCAAGGACCGCAGCTTTACTTAGCCCCTTGACACTCTCATAGCCGCAATTTACCCAACTTCTGAGTTGTAAATTTCTTTTCATTGTAATAGTTATTTCAATTGTAAAATAGCTCTAATATTAGTAAACTTTTAGTATGATTTCTCGTATTTTAAACATCTACTCCTATCACTTAGGTTTTTGTTCCGAATGCTATTATAGAGGGTATTAGTCATTCAAAAATCTTTCAAACTCACCGGTGTCCGTCCCCTGCACTAGCATTTATAATTTTCTGCTTTCATCAATTGTAATATTCAGTTCTCATCAATCAATGTTTAATTTACTTTCAATGTATTCAAATTCTCTATTGTAAGCTTTCTACAAAATTGTAATCAAATTTTCTTTCGTCCCGACGCGATCGAGAAAAGGCGGAAGGTAGTCTAGCTGAGCAGACTACTGCCGCACGGTGTCTCTTTCTGTGTCAAGAAGAAAGGCACCTCGTAAAAGTTGGTATCAAAACTGTGGCTCATGACCCTCGATAAGAAAGTTATGGATTCAATTACATCCCACACCACTAAAGTGGTAGAGCCTCAAAAGAAGAGTACTACTAAACAGCGCGTAGATGCGCTTGATGAGATAACTACTATATTGTGCTATGCCTTGGACGGTCTCGAGGAAAAGTCGAGATGGTAGAATCCGAGATTCGTGGATTAGACATCCAACTGGATGAAAGCCAAAGGGCTTGCGCAGCAATTACTGAAGTACTGTAATCATTCCTGATTTGTAGGATGAAATGGAATAGTTGAGAGCTTAATTGCGGGTACTCCAATGTGTGATGGGCAATGAGCAAGCTCCTGTACTTGAGTATGCTCCTAGACTCAGAATTCTTGAGCCGTGTACCTACAGAGGGGCACGTGATGCAAAAGAAGTCGAAAACTTCTTGTTTGACATGGAACAGTACTTTCTCGCAGCTTCTATCGAAGATGAAGCCAGAAAGGTAACCAAAGCTACCATGTATCTGGGTGGAGATGCAAAACTATGGTGGTGAACCAAATATGCTGACATTCAGGCCAACAGGGTTCGAATATATTCTTGGGATCTCTTCAAGGAAGCGATGAGATTGCAGTTTTTCCCAGAAAATGTCGAGTATCAGGCTCTACTGGCACTTCGAGACCTGAAACACACAAGCTCTATCAGAGAGTATGTGAAATCCTTTTCAGGGCATATGCTGAATATTCGAGATATGTCGACAAGGATAAGCTCTTCACCTTTATGGAAGGGTTGAAACCGTGGATACGCACAGAACTTCAAAGACAGAAAGTTACTGATTTGAACACGGCCATGGAAGCCGACGAATGCTTGAGCGACTACCAAATGGAATCTAGAAAAGATCGACCTTCGGGGAGTAATCAAGTAATTGGATGTGGTAACAGACCTTACAGACCCAGCTCGAACCCAAATGGGGGAGAGCGTTACTCTCAGAATAAAGAAGGAGCCTATCAAAGCACTCATGACTTCCAGGGAAACTATCATAATAGCTGTTAAGGAAATTTTAACGGCAACAACAGTAATAACTGGAACAAAGGAAAAACAATGGAGGGCTGAATTGATGCCACTCCTAAATTGAAGTGTTTTTTATGTGAAGGACCTCATCGGGTGTGGGAGTGTCCTCAAAAGCGGAAGGAAAAATCATATTGTCAGTTAGCAAGTGGCGGGTCAAGTTCAAAGCAAAAGGCCCCGCAAGCTAATGGTCATAGTTAGACCGACTCTGAAAAAGATGAGGACGTAGTTGGGGCATTTTCACATCGGTGCAACACACAGTCGCATCGGGTTGCTGAAAAGGATGATGTCCCACCGAAAGAGGCAAAGATGGAAGAAGCGAAGGCTCGAATTTGTAGGGCCAAAGGCTTAATGTACATTGATGTAAAAATCAACGGGAAGCCAATCAGGGCTATGGTGGATACTAGTGCTACCCACAACTACGTTGCAGGTATCGAAGTAGGGCGGCTCGGACTTGTTCTGGAAAAGGGTAGTGGAAAAGTCAAAGTAGGTCCTTTCGAGGGAAGGATAAATTTATCTGCAGTTCAGATGGATGATTTTAAGCTTATTATGGGATTGGAATTTCTTCGGAATAATAAGACAGCTGTGTTGCCATATTCTGATTCGTTAATGATGATGGGTAATAAGCTGTGTGTCATCCCTACACAGGTTGGGAGGATGGGTGAGAAGAGTATCTCAGTCATGCAATTTCGTAAGGGTTTTAAGAGAAATGAACCTTCTTTTTTGTGCACTCTTCGATTAGAGGAGATCGAAGAGGCGACCCGTTAAAAGGCTCATTCAGGAATTTGAGGACATCATGCCGGACGAATTACCAA